TCTTCTGTGTCTGTGTTAATTGGTTTCCCTTTTCTTTGTTGAAGAGGGTCTGTGCAATCCTTCTGCCTAGTCCGCCATCTTGCCCCGCCTCTGTGTGTATATTCTTAATAAGAAAAACAAAAAACAAGGAAAAAATAGGATATATTATAAAAAGTGTTATGAAGTTGTAGAGAGATTAGAGCCCTTGTACACTGCTGGTGGCACTGGAATAGTATTCAACAATATTTTTTTTTTTTTCAGTTCCTCAAGCCGTTAAACGTACAGTTAGCACATGATTCAATAATTTAACTCCAAGGTATTAGCTCAAGAAAAATGAAAGCTTACCCTAGCATTAATAGCAAAATTAAATAAAACAGAAAACAACAAATGCTGGGGAGGGTCTGAAGAGACTGGTACTCTCTTACACTACTGACAGGATTATAAAATGGTATAACCGCTGTGGAAAATGGTATGACACTTCCTTAAAAATTTGGAAATAGAAATGCCATATGATCCAGCAATCCTACTACTAGGCATATATCCTAGAGAAATAAGAATAGTGACACAAACAGATACATATCTATCTCTCTATTTCTCTATATATCTATTTATTCCTGTACATTGCAGCATTATTCACAATAGCAAAAAGATAGAAATAACCTAAGTTACCATCACTGGATGAATGGATGAATAAACTGTCTTACATACACACAATGGAATACTATGCAACATTAAAGAAGCTGGTCTCTGTGAAGAGGAAAGCAGCATCAGGATTGTAGGAAGACTCCTTAACAACCTCAGTATGCAGATGACGCAACCTTGCTTACTGAAAGTGAAGAGGACTTTAAGTACAGCCTTCAATATGGATTATGCATCCAACATAAAGAAAACAAAAATCCTCACAACTGAGCCAATAAGCAATGTCATGATAAATGGAGAAAGATTGAAGTTGTTGAGGATTTTATTTTACTTGGATCCCGAATCAACACCCATGGAAACAGCAGTCAAGAAATCAAATGATGTATTGCAGTTGGCAAATCTGCTGTAAAAGACCTCTTTGAAGATTTAAAAGCAAAGATGTCACTTTGAGGACTGACCCAAGCCATGGTCATTTCAGTTTCCTCATATACATGTGAAAGCTGGACAGTGAATAAGGAAGACTGACGAAGAATTGATACATTTGAATTACGGTGTTGGCAAAGAATATTAAATATACCGCAGACTGCCAGAAGGACAAACAAGTCTCCCTTGGAAGAAGTACAGCCAGAACATTCTTTAGAAGTGAGGATGGTGAGGCCTTGTCTCATGTACTGGAGAAGGACATCTTGCTTGGTAAAGTAGAGGGTCAGTGAAAAAGAGGAAGACCCTCAATGAGATGGATTGACACAGTGGTTGTAACAATGGGCTCAAACAGCAATGATTGTGAAGATGGTACAGGACCTGGCAGTGTTTTGTTCTGTTGTACCTATGGTCTTTATGAGTTGGAAATGACTCAGTGACACTTAACCACCAACAACGTTACCATTACAGGTTTCCCTCAGTATCTGAAAGTGGAGTGTTACTATGAAATATTTTGTAAGATGAAATGGCATAGGACGAAGAAGCAACTACCATTAACTCATATGGGAAAAATTTTGGGGAGTTGTCCCACTCCAAAATCATCTACCAAATCATACCAAATAACCCATAAAACCTCAAATAACAGTACCATGTAGTGTTCATAGACTGTTCAAAGCTATGATGACTTTATGCTAAGACGCTTTGTGTAGTTGCTGGTGAAGGAGCTTGGTGATGCTACCCTTGCTGCTTGCTATGAGCACTGTAGCCTTCAACGCTTTAATGCCTTGCTGCAAAACAAAAGCTGAACAGTAGTTTGCCTTTTAGGTTTTTTTTTTCCCCATATAAGCGAAAATCCTCTTCTTGTTTCTTTTGGTTAGCCAAAACAGATGTACTAATGTAGGTCTTTTGTAAAACTGAAGTGGTGTAAAACGAATTTTTGAAAAGCAGGGGATACCTGTATTCTTGTTAAAAGAATGAGGATGCTGAGATCTGAGAAGTGCAGAGGAACTTCAGAAGTGCCTGAGGATATATAGACCTAGATCCTTGAACTCCAGCCAGGCCTTTTAATCCCCAGTGGGCTTCTCTTCCCTGCTGTAAAGCCCTCAGAGCAATTGCAGTTATCTGATGTCCCAGTTTCAAATTCTTTCAAAACATGAAGCCCTGTTCTTTTTGTTCTCATTTTCCCTACCCCCTTGTGGTGGAAATGTGAACTTACTGGGGCAAGGCTAACCATGGAGGAATGAGGAAGCAGCCAGAGCTCTCCAGAGAGTCCTTGACTTACAGGTGGTCTCAAATTTCAGTGAGTGTAAGAGAGCTCTGGTGGCACAGTGCCTAAGGCATTTGACTGCTAACCAGAGGGCTCGTGCTTCAAACACACCAGTCACTTCTCCGAAGGAAGATTGAGCAATCTGTAGTGATACTGCCTTGGTATATACCAAGTATATACCAGGGCTTCAGCTCCAGAAAGTCTAATGTACCGGATAGGGTGGAGGGCTATGGACTCTGAAGTTTAGTTGTGTTCCAGTGTAGTTCTGGGGCAGGTGGTTTTGGACCACACTTGGAGAAAAGCTGGTGTACAGGTTGCTAATGTGGACTTATTCTTTTCTTTTACTAAAGGGCCATTCTGCTTTTCAGGCTCTGGGAATGACCCTTTCCCCTTTATGTTCCTTGAGACTGAGAGGTTTATATTTAGAGCTTTGTAAGCACTGTTGTCCCTGGATGCTGCAAATGGTTAACTGCTAACCAAAAGGTGGGAGGTTCAAGTTTACCCAGAGACACCTCACAAGAAAGGTCTGGTGATCATCTTTTGAAGTCAGCCATTGAAAACCCTATGGAGCATGGCTCTATTGTGCTACACATGGGATGTCATTAGCGAGAATCTGATGGCAACTGGTTAAGCACTGTTGTCGGGTGGAAATGAGAATGTTTGTGCCTAGCCAACCCTGATATTAATAAAATGTGATGTCTAGCAAGTCATTACACTTAACTGTAACTTAGTGGTAGAGATCTGAAGGGATAAATAAAATATCGGGTTATTTTAGAGATGAAAAAAATGTCAAGTTCTCTTTTTCTTCCTCCCTCGCCTGCTTTTTCTCAGGTTGTGAAGTGGTCAGACTGTTGCTTGCTGTTAGCTTGCAGACCTGGGGATCCTTATCAATTAATCGCTGAAGCAAGTGTGGACAACTTCAGCAAACTGGGGGTAGCGTTCATGGAAGATAGACTTCAGATGGACAATGGGCTGGTACCCCAAAAAATCATTTGTAAGTAATTCTAGAAAATGTGTTCATCATCTCAGGATATTGTAATTTATTAGCTTAAACTGCCAGGTATTCCTTTCCAGTATGGCTTAAGGGCAGTGCTTATTTTCATTTTAATTCTGTCAACGGATTTGATTTCACTACAACAGTATAACATTCATACATGTCTCAAAAAAAATTTTTGTTTTTGGAGGAGATTTATCCCTCAATATATCTTTAGTGTTTATGGAATCTCCTAATCCTGGATTTCTCCTAATTGCATTGTCCAGGAGACGGCATTCAAATTCAAGACCCATATAATATTTATTTCAGATATTCTAATCAGCGTAACTAGTTTCTAGAGTATGTTGTTGTAGTTAGGTTCTGACTCATAGTGACCCTATGTACAACAGAATGAAGTACTGCTCAGTCCTGTGGCAGCCTCACAATCTTTGCTGTACCTGAGCTTGTTGTTGTAGCCACTGTGTCAATCCATCTTGTTGAGGGCCTTCCCCTTTTTCTTTGACCCTCCACTTTACCAAGCATGATATCCTTCTCTAGGGAATGGTCCCTTCTGACAACATGACCAAAGTAGGTGAGATGAAGCCTGGCTACTGTTGCTTCCAAGGGGCATTCCAGCTGCACTTCTTCCAGGACAAATTTATTCATTCTTCTGGCAGTGCATGATACTTTCAGTATTCTTTGCCAACACCACAACTCAAAAGCATCAATTCTTTTGTCTTCCTTATTCATTGTCCAGCTTTCACATACATGTGAGGCAGTTGAAAATATCATGACTTGGGTTAGGAGCACCTCAGTCTTCAAAGTGACATCTTTGCTCTTCAGCACTTAAAAGAGGTATGTTGTTGTTGTTGTTATATGCCGTCGAGTCGGCCCCGACTCATAGCGACCCCTCCTTGGGTTTCCGAGGCAGTATCACTATGGAAGTAGGATTGCCCAACCTTCCTTCCGAGGAGTGGCTGGTGGGTTTGAACCACCGGCCTTCTGGTTAGCAGTCAAGTGCCTTAGGCACTATGCTACCAGAGCTCCTAAAAGAGGTATAGTTCTGATGAAGTGGGAAGTATAGCCATTATTATTATGAAGATCTAAATCAAACAGCTTTGTGCTTAAAATACCCACACTACAACTCTTTGGAACAAATCTTTTTTTTTTTCAGTAAACACACCAAATATTCCTCCTAAATTAAGCTTAAAAGCAGCCTTCATATATCTGCGAGTCTTCACTCATATCAGGAGCAAATAAGTACTACTTATCAGCTCTATAAATTTGTGTAAATTATTTAATTTCCTGATTTGTAATGTGTGTGTGCCACATGGCCATATCTGATACATGTTGTTGTTGTTGTTGTTATGTGCCATCGAGTCAGACCCAACTCATAGTGACCCCTCCTTGGGTTTCCAAGGCGGTATCACTATGGAAATAGATTGCCCAACCTTCTCTCCAAGGAGTGGCTGGTGGGTTTGAACCACCAGCCTTCTGGTTAGCAGTCAAGTACCTTAAGCACTACGCTACCAGAGCTCCTATCTGATGCATAGCAAGTGCTAAATGTTTTTTGAGTCAATGACTGTAAACTTATATTCCAGTTCTATAAGAGCCCTCTCCCTAGTTGATCCTAGAAAGTATTCTAAGAGTGTTGTTTTTCTAGGATGTGCTTGGATAGATCCTAGATAGGTGCCTTTTTTTTTTTTTTTTTTACGTTTCACTGCTGTACAGGAGATTAAAGGAAAAAAAAACTCAAATCATTGTCATTGGTCATTTCTCAACCTCATGTGTTGTCAGAGTAGAACTGTGCTTCATAGCATTTTCAGTGGCTGATTTTTTGGAAATAGATTACCAAGACTGTTTTCCAAGTTGCCTCTGGGTGGGGTTCAAACCATCAACTTTTCCGTTGGTTGTCAAGTGCCTGACTGTTTGTGCCGTCTGGGGACTCTTAACAAAGTGTGGGCAATAGCACAGGATGGTTAACACCCAAGATACTGAATCTAAATAAGTGGACAGAGTCTTCCTTGAATCTTACTTTCTTCACCAGTCAGCAAAGGAGAATGGAAAGGAAGAGCTGTAGGTTCTCCTATCTGTAAAGGAAAGATGTTGTGGAAACTTGGAATTTCACTTGGGTTCTGCCTAGACATCCTCCTAGTACATGGGAGGAATGATGTGGTTCCAAAGGATGACGTTGCAGAGCTGAGAGGGAAATGAGGGTAGGAGCTGGATGGGTTGGTTCTCCTGGTGTGTAAGTCTGCTGTGCCCAAAGAGTGTAATAAAGTTGAACTGCGCCACACAATAGACAAGAAATGCTGATTAACTCTCTTTTCTGTTCTTGCTTTAGCAGTGCACTTGCAGGACTCCACTCTAAAGGAACTTAAGGATCAGGCCTCAAACAAGCAAGCCCAGATCATACAGCCAAACCCTGAATCTTCTATGGAGATTACGCCTGAGCAGGACACGATGGCACATGTTGCTAAAGATGACCCAAAGATTCTTGGTGAAGAACAGCCCAAACAGGGGCAAGGCAATGCCTCTGGGAGAGAGCTTTCTGGGGAGAGTGACAGAGGAGCAGGCTCCGTTGAGCATTATCACCTACATCTGTCTAGCTGCCATGAGTGTTTGGAACTTGAGAATAGCACCATTGAGTCAGTCAGGTTTGCATCTGCAGAGAACATTCCAGATCTTCCTTATGATTATAGCAGCAGTTTAGAGAGTATTGCTGATGAGACCTGCCCTGAGAAAGAAGGGAGGAGAGTCAATATCACAGGCAAGGTACCCAACATCCTAGTCTATGTGGGCCCTGATTCTGAGGAAGCTCTCAGCAGGTGCCAGCAGGTCCAGGCTGTTCTGGCTGACTGTGTGGACACTGAGCAGTACATTGTCTATCACTTGCTGGAGGAAAGTGCTCTCAGAGACCCGTGGCCAGACAACTGTGTGTTGCTGGTCATTGCCACCAGGGAGTCTCTTCCTGATGTCCTGTATCAGAAGGTCATGGCCTATCTTTCTCAGGGAGGGAAGGTGCTGGGCCTGTCTTCATCTTTCACGTTTGGTGGCTGCCAGTTGACAAGCAAGGGGGCACCACAGAAGATAGTCCAGAACTTAGTTTTCTCCAGGGCTGACCAGAAAGAAGTGAAGCTCAGTGTCCTGAGCAGTGGCTGCATCTATGAGGAAAGCCCTGGGGAGCAGATCAGTCCAGGCAAGCTCCAGGGCCACCTGGACAATGAGGACAAGGACAGGATGATCGTGCAAGTGCCTTTTGGAACACATGGAGGAGAAGCTGTTCTTTGTCAGGTACTGAGACTTGTGTAAATTTAATCGTCTTTGGGATAAAATTTCCAAGTGTGTCTTTGACAGAGCATAGGTTCTTTAAAGGAGCTCTGGTGGCGTGGGCAAGGCATCTGGCTGCTAAACAGAAGATCAGCAGTTCGAACCCACCAGCTACGCCATGGGAGGAAGATGAGGCTATATTCTTCCACAAAGATTTACAGCTTTGGAAACCAATGAGGGTTGCTATGAGTTGGAATCAACTTGATGGCAGTTAGTTTGGGTTATTTTATTTTATTTTATTTGGTTTAGGCTCTTTAAAAACATATATTTAAGATCCAGGAGCCTGTGTGCTATAGGTTACTTCTAACTATTGGCTGGAACTTTTTGCTGATGGTGAGAAAATCTAATTCAGAGCTTTCATGTGGCCTGAATACCCTTTATTAACCAAAAAAAAAAAAAAAACAAAACAAAACAAACATGATGGAAGAAGGAGGCAGGGGATGCTATGTTGTTGTTAACTGCCCGTGGAGTTGACCCTGGCTCCTGGCAATCTTATTTACAACAGAACAGAACGTTGCCCAGTCTTGCATCATCCTCACAATTGCCAGAATGTTTGAGTCCATCATTAAGGCTATTTTTGCAATCCATTTCATCAGAGGACACTCTCACCCTCATTGGCCCTACACTTTACCAAACATGATGTCCTCCTCTAGTGATTGATCCCTCCTGATGATATGTCCACAGCAAGCAAGCCAAACATTGTTCTGTTGTGATCCTTGGGGTTTTTATTGGTTAATTTTCAGAAATAGATTGCCGACCTTTCTTCCTAGACTGAGTCTGGAAGCTCTGTTGAAACCTTTCCACCATAAGTGGCCCTGCTGGTATTTGAAATACTGGTGTCATAGCTTCCAGCATCACAGCAACACAGGCTACTGCAGTGTGTCAGACAGGTCATGATGTGTTATAGTTAATGAAAATTTTTGGATAACCAAGCATTCAGCAGAAAATTCTTTTTTGTTTTGAACTTTATTGGTAGTAGTCTGAGATACATTTATCTTCCTTGCCTCAAAGTATAGCCTAGTTAACAAAATCAAACCTTTATTTAATGTAGGAAGTTGAATGCCTTGGGATCATGATTCTAAACATCACTGACCATCAACATAAAATATCAGAGTTGGTTTCAAGGAACGGACTGAGTGCTCACTACCTGCTGAGATAGTTAGGGTGTTAGTGTTAATATCTTCAAATTCCCAGTTCCTTCCTTATGATTTGTCACTCCAAGATCCCAATGATGTCCCTGGATGCCACAAACGGTCAAGTGTGGCTGCTGACAGAAAGGTTGGAGGTTTGAGTCCATCCAGAGGCTCTTTGGGAGAAAGGCCTCTCACCAAACCAAACTAACTGCTATCAACTTGATTCCAACTCATTGCGACCCCTTACTGGGTTTCCAAGCTGTGAATCTTTATGGAAGCAGATCGCCTCATCTCTCTTCTGCGGAGTGGCTGGTTGTTTCAAACTGCTGACCTTTTGGTTAGCAGCCAAATGCCTTAACCACTACACCACCAGAGCTCCTTTTGGAAGAAAGGCCTAGCGGCTGAAAAATCAGCCACTGAAAACCCTATGGAGCACAGTTCTACTTTGACATGCATGGGTCCATGAGTTGACAACAGCAATGTTGTTGTTTTTTTTTTTAAAGATCTAAATGCTGAGACCATTTTCAGTTGAGAGAATATTGATGTTATTTAGACTTACAGTACATGAATACATAAGTAAGAAATAATGAAAAGGGAGAAGATGAAAGGAAAATGATGTTTCCCTTTTCAATCTTAGATTCTTTGATCTCTTCTCCTACTTTTTTCTCCCTCCTTTCCTCCTTTCTTCTTTTAGCTTTTTGTTCATTTAAATGAACAGTAGCAATAGAGACCATTTCAAAATTTATGATTGTTTATTGCAAATCTTTTAATGCTGCAAGGGGAGAAGTTTTTGTTTGAGTTAGACAAACACTTGTCCTTAAGGGTTTGGTAATCTGATTGAGAAAATAAAGTAGATATAGATATATGGGCACAGATGAGTTGCCACGAACACAGTAATGATCATGAAGGTGGTCCAGAGCCAGGCGTTCTGTTATACATAAGGCTGCCATGAGTAAGAGCAGACTCAGAGGCAACTAAAAACAAAATTAGTTACTAAGATGAGGGTGTTTTGTTGTAAGGATCTTTTCATTGAGTCAGAGATCCATTTGCTTTTTTATTTTGTATGCTGTGTCTCTGTCTATCCCTCCTGGAAGCTAATGCTCTTGGGCTTTTTGATCCACTATTCTTCAGAGGAATATAGATGTGTTTCTTTGCTATTCTGAAACCCACTGACTTGTTCTTAAGATAATTTGCAAGTAAAGTTATTTGAAATCTAGAAACCTGGACATCAGGACAGATGTACATGTGCAATGCAAGCAGGTTTCCTGCAGGGCTGCAAACCATGTGCATTAGGTTCCGGAGGCCTAATAAATGTTTCTCTTTTCTTCTCTTTTCCACTGCAGATATGGTAACTATAGTAACTGTGCATTCTCAGAAAATCTGCTCCAAAACCCAACTTCCTTGAGCCATATTTCAGTTTTGAAGAGCACATTTTACCACCCTTGTGAGTGGACTTGTAATAGAAAATTGATTCGGGACTGTTGCAATCCATTTCTCTAAGTTACATAGCAAATCTGCTTGTCGCACCATTTAAATCAACCCCTTCACTACCATAAAATCTGATACCACAGTGCACTGCCCTAGAAATAAAAGGCAATATGATGCAGCTTCAAAAATCAGATTCAGGGGATTAGAATGCTATTTTTGATTTTAAATGACTTCCAGTCTCCGTGTGACAGGCTCACCGTTTTCTCCTCAGGCCTGTGTCACTACCATACAGTGTGGAGATCAACTGATAAATATTATCACAGGCTGGTTAGTTTCCTCTTCCCCTGTTCAATTTCATAGTCTTCATCTTTGTAATAAATCTAGCAATGATGTAACCCAATAAGAGGAGGTGGAGAACTTCAAGGGTGAAACACAGCTGTATGGTAGGTGGTGGCATAGCCATCAAGGGAGTTTGTATTTCATGTCCTTGCCACTGGTAATAATAAAGAGAAAGAAGAAAATGTACGTATAATTACTGAGCTGATCAAGTCTTCAGGGGAAATTTAAGGTGGTAGATAAATGCTGATACATGAATAGCAAATGAACAGAAGCTTTGGCATGAACATGTCCAAACAAAGTCTCTAAAATGGATTTAAACATATATATTTTTTTAATTTAGATGAACACATGGCAAAAATGCTACTAATTTGGAACAGAGTTTCTCAGCCTTGGCACTGTTGACATTTCGGGCTGGATCATTCTTTGTTTTGGGGAGCTATGGCGTCCTATGTATTGCAGGCATTGTCCTGTGCATTGAACACTATCCCTGGTCTCTACTCACTAGATACCAGTTGTGTCCCTTTTCATTTGTGACAACCAAAAATTTCTTCAGATACTGCCTGATGTCCCCTGGGGGAGAGGCACAATTGACTGTAATTGTGAACCACTGCTTTATAGTATTCTTTGATAACTAGGTTTATGGTCCAGTCAAAAGTCTTATTTTTAGACGAAGCCAGGTTCCATTGCCATGGTAACAGCATTATAACCAGAGGATTTGTCAGATACCCTGGCAAACTAGGACCACAAATCTATCATGTATACACATTCTGGGGTGCTGTTCTGTCCTGATTAATTTGAGAGTGCCTCCCCAGAGGTGGCCTTTCTTGTTATTTTCAGTGTAGAGGCACCTAATCTTGAAACTGTACGGCAGCAAGCAGAAGCCATTCCCCCACAGCTTCATTGGATGCCCTTTCCTCTCAGAACACCAACTCCAGAGACCCGCTTGTAGGCCACTCATTTGCTTTCCTCCTCAGCATCTTTCACATGTGACAATGATTTCCGTTCATCTTCCTGCGTGTGCTTCTTGAATATTCTGTGTGTTCATCAAGCCCAGTAAGGACATGGGCTTTCAATCATGTGCTTCCCCCCCCTTCCCCTGGGTTCCTTTTATTTCTGCCACCTGTAAGGGTTAATCTCCAGGACAGCCACGTGCAATGTCTATGTGAAATCAACGTGACCAATGTTATGCTGATTGTCCAGACCAGCACGGCTTTATCCACCTGAGAGGCACACACATTTAGGGTTGGAATGTGTGTGACTTCATATGTGACCCCATCTGTGTTAGAGTAGAACTGTGCTCCAGAAAGTTTCCAATGGTTGATTTTTTTTTCAGAAGTAGATCACCAGTCCTTTTTTCTGACGTGCTTCTGGGTGGACTCGAACTTCCATCCTCTTGGTTAGCAGCTTAGCATGTTGTTTGCTCCACCTGGGGACTCTAAACTAAATACATGCAACTCTAAATGCACTGTTCTAAGTGTTAAAATTCAATCAGGTGAAGGAGAGTGGTGGGGCAGAAGGATGTGGACTCCTTAAAGAGCTTTGCTTTTCCACTTCCTTCCCTCTCCAGAGCCATTTAGAGTGTGTTTAGCTGCTGTCTTCTGGTTGGTATGCTTAGTCGTTGGTAAAGCAGCCAGTGCCTCAGCTGACCGCCTGGAGTTTGGGGACTATGATGGGCAGTGTCCTGCAAACTTTTCAGATTGGCCCCAGCTTTCAACATTTGAACCTAATCCAGTATATTTGGCTTGTTTAAGGCTTGAGAGGGAGTTGAGAGATTTTTAAGTTGCCTAAACATCAGCCCTATGCTTTCTGTTTTCATAATGTTCCTGTAACATCGGAAGGAAATTCTGCATGCATTGGACCTTTGGCAAAAACAATGCAAAATGAAACAAATGCACTTGGGTCACTTTTCTAGGTACTAAATATTCATCCGTTTGCACGCTGTGTTGAATATGGTTACTCTCCTCCTGAGTGTTTTCCAGCTATGCTGTTACATAATAGGAAGCATGGGAAGTTTCAAGCATGACCCCTTGTACCTCCCTGAGTTCAGTAGCAGTAGTACTGTGGGCTCTAGCACAACAGTATTTCTAGTGTTTTGTTCATGTAATCAAGTTTTGTGACTTACCCAATATCACATAAATTATTAGTGAAAAAAGTCAGGACGTTTGTAATGGTTAGTGACCTGTGTTGTTGGTTGCTGTCGAGTCAGCTCTGACTATGGCGACGTTACGTATTACAGAAATGAAATGTTGCCTGGTCCTGTGCCATCTTCTGATCCTTCCTTTGTTTGAGCCCTGTGTTGTGGATAATGTGACAATCCGTCTCATGGAGGGGTTCCCTCATTTTTTGCTGACCCGTACCAAACACGATGCCATCTTTCCAACCAGTAATATGCAGTGCTGTTTCCAGCGTGGCCTCTCAGCCTAACAGCTATGATTTTAATAGGCTCTTTTGTGTCTCTTCGTGGCTTATTGTTGCTTTCCACATATTCAGGTTCAAAGTTTATATATACTGTTGATCATTAGAAGGATCCATGTTCAAGTTTTCAGAAAAACTGGTAAAGAAGCTATTTTTCTTAGTGTCTGTAAGTGCTACCATTTTACAGAGCAGTATCTTTTCCCTTTAGGTGCACCTAGAACTACCTCCCAGCTCTTTGATAGTACAAACTCAAGAAGATTTTAATTTGCTCAAAGCAAGCAATTGTAAAAGATATGAAGTCCTTAAGGAGATCCTGACAACCCTTGGCCTAAGCTGTGAAATGAGACAAGTTCCTGCCTTAACACCTCTCTACTTACTATCAGCTACTGAGGTGAGTGTCGTCTCAGCTGGAGAGAAATCATCTCAGAATGTCTCTGCTTGATGTTCCCTTTCAGTTGATAATTTCTATTTTGACTTTGAGTTTGGGAACCATTTTAAAGAAGTCCAAGTATAACTAATTTTTCTTTTCTTGGTGTTTATAAGAGAGGGAGAGAAAACTATTGGAGTTTGTTGTTCTTGTTGGCTGCCATCCAGTAAGCCCCTGACTCACAGCAACTCCATGCACAGCTGAATGAAACACTGCCCGGTCCTGTGCTGTACCCATGCTTGGTTGCAAATCAGACCATTTCAATTCATAGGGTTTTCATTGGCTGATTTTCAGCATTAGATTGCCAGGCCTTTCTTCCTAGTCTTAGTCTGGGAAGCCCTGCTGAAACCTGTTCAGTGTCATAGGAACACACAAGGCTCCACTGACAGATGGGTGGTGGCTGTGCAGGAGGTGCACTGGGTGGGAATTGAACCCAGGTCTCCCACATGAAAGGCAAAAATTCTACCACTGAACCACCACTGCTTCACTGTTGGAGTTTGAAGGTGTTAAAGCTTAAGGTTTTGGCTCTTTATATTTAAGGGCCAAAGAGTCACTGTTTTATGTGTAAACAATGTATTTGGAACCAAAATTTGTTCATTTGGCATTAGAAACATTTGGTTTGATTTGGGCTTTTCCCAAGCAACTCTTGGGATGCGAAAATCACACTTTGTTTTATTTGTGCTGAAGTCTGCCATCTTGTGGCAAAAGGGGCTCTGAATTTCAGCTCATGTCTTTCTTAGTCGTGTCTAAGAGGAAAATGCCTAAGGAGATGAGGCCATTCAGGCATTTTCCTGGCCTTTTGTTTGCATTTTATGACTGTGACCAATACTGGGTTGTGGGCAGGTTGACACATTTCCCCAGGTGTGTGGCATCTCTCTAATCCCCTTGCTTTGCACAACTGTCAGTTTCTTGTTAATTGGGGCAAATGACTTTGTGGGTCTATTTCTATTGTCTCCCTCACACAGGTAACTTTGTGAGTTTAGTCCAGGTGGCTCTCAACACCAAATTTAACTCTTTTCCCTTGAAAGAACAAATCATTCCCACAAACCAACATTTTTAAAAGAGGAGGCATTCTTCTTTGGGCTAAACGCTTCCCTTTAGCAAACTTGGTTTTCAGATGAAAACAGACCGTGAGCGATTAGGGTGTGATGTGCTCACTTAGAGAAGCCAGGTATAAACTCAGAGAGCATTTAGGCTTAGGATTCGTTATAGGATTTTTTGAGGACTGGATGAAATATCTTATGTGAAAGCTCTGTAAATTATTTAAATGGTAGTGCAGTTGTTACTAAGTGGTGAGAAGTCTAATGAGTTAATATGTGTAATATGCCTAACTTGTGCCTGGTTGAGGAGTCCTGGTGGTGCAGTGGTTAAGTGCTTGGCTGTTAACTGAAAGGTTGATGATTCAAACCCACCAGCTATTCTGGTGGAGAAAGATGTGGCAGTCTGCTGCCATAAAGACTACATCCTTGGAAACTGTATAGGGCAGTTCTGCCCTGTCCTATGGAGGCTGTGCAAATCAGAGTCGACTCGAGGGCAGTGGATTTAATGCCTGGTTGCTGTTGTTAGCCGCCGACGAATTGGCTCTGACTCATGATGACTTTATGTGTAATAGAACGAAACATTGCTAGATCTTACACCATCTTCACGGTCAATGGCATATTTAAGCCCGTCCTGGCTATTGTGTAGTGTCCTCCAACCTAGGGACTCATCTTCCAGCACTATATCACATCATATTCTGTTGTGTTCCATAGGGTTTTCATTGGCTGATTTTCAGAAGTAGATCACCAGACCTTTCTTCCTAGGCTTTCTTAGTCTGGTAGCTCCCCTGAAACCTGTCCACTATGGGTAACCCTGCTGGTATTTGAAATACCAGTGGCATAGTTTCCCACATCATACAACACGCAAGCCACCATAGTGCAACATAACTGACACATAGGTGGTGGTTGCTTTATATAAAAAAACCAAAACCAAACCCACTGCCATTGAGTTGATTCCAACTCATAGCAACCCCCATTGGATTTCCAAGGTGGTAAATCTTTACGGAAGTAAATTGCCCAGTTTTCCTTCCACAGAGTGGCTGGTGGGTTTGGACCACCAACGTTCTGGCCAGCAATGAGATGCCTTAGGCACTGTGCTATCAGAGCTCCTTGTTGGCTTTATGTAGATATACAGAACACTCCAAACAAACTCCAAGCCCAACAAACTCTTTGTAACATCATTAACTTTGGATAAGAGTTATTTTTAGAAATGTTCATTTTTTTATCTGGGATTCCCCATTGGTTTTGTTGATCTTCTTGGATATCTAAGCTATGGACCGCTTTTTTCTCCCTGTCACTAATCTCTTGACTTAGTTCTGAGGGAGTGTATATGTGATTGTTGTACATGCCCTCATTTATTTTTTCTTTTTTAGATTTTATTCCCTTCACCCAAGTTAATATGTGTCTACCCTCTAGTTAGTGGTTTACCCACCCTCTTCTACCTACCCCCGGTAACCATCAAAACATATTTCTTTTTTTGTAAACCCTTTTCTTGACTTTTTATAATAGTGGTCTCATGCAATGTTTGTCCTTTTGTGATTGACTAATTTCACTCAGCATAGTGCCCCATAAGTTTATTTATGTTATGCTTCACAATTTCATTATTCTTTAACGTTGTTCAGTATTCCATTGTGAGTATGTACCATAATTTGTTATCTAGTGCTCCCATGATGGCATTTTGGTTGTTTCCAACTTTTTGCTATTGTGAATAGTGCTACGATGAACACGGGTGTGCATATAGCTGTTCGTTTCATGGCTCTTATTTCTCTAGGATATATTCCTAGTAGGATTGCTGGATCATACAGTATTTCTATTTCCAGCTTTTTAAGGAAGCACCATCCTGTTTCCCACAGTATTTGCACCATTTTACAGTCTCACTAGCAGTATGAGAGTCCCAGTCTCCACACCCTCATCGGCATTTATTGTTTTTGGTTTTCTTTGAACTTTGCTCTTAGTACCAGGGTAAGATTATGCCTTCATTTCTTAATGGCTAATAACTCCTCATTGAAGATTTTGAATCTTCAGTAGGAGGAAATGTAAGAATTTGGGGTTTTATATTATGTTTTCCTGGAATAAGAGTTTTCTAAAGGATTTTAGTACAAATTAATGTGAAGATAGACACTCACTGACTGTGATGGCCTTTGCAGAGGCAGCTTCCTCCTATTCTCCTCTGATGCTGAGGCTGAGATCTCTCGGAACTCCTTCTAGGCATTGTGGTGGTGCCTTGATATTTATAGATCTGTGTGACAGAGGTTGGGGGTAGAATTGGCTAGTCCTTTCCATTTGGTTTCCTTTTTTGCAGCCCATCTTAATAGATCTTGTTGGTCCCCATAGAATTAGGTTACATGGAGAGCATCTTGGCACTTGGCCATCTGCTATGCTCTGCCCATCCATTTAGACTCATCACCTATAAGAGCTTTACAGATGATAGATACTTGCACTCCTCTGCTGCCTGCTTTTATGTAAAATACTGTGCTGTTGGGAATCAAAGACTTCTCACCACAAGGTGTCGCTGCTGAGCTAGGCTGCCATTGGACCCTGGAACTACAAGCTAGTTCTGAGTTTTTTTCCTGTATATCAATTTAACATATTATCATTTAGTAGTTTTCCATTATATTGTTGGCACTTTCTTTTTGTTCCTTAGAAATTATTTAAATACCATAATGAAGAATATCATCTTTCATTTAACATTTTAGCAGTACTACGCTGTTATATGGGGTTGCGATGAGTCTGAAGTAACTCAATGGCAACTAACAAAAATAACAGGTGCTATTATGGCGTCCTGAAGTGGTGCAAACAGTTAATGTGCTTGGCTGTTAATGAAAAGGTTAAATGTTCAAGTCTACCGGCTTGGCAATCTACTATTGAAAAATCAGCCATTGAAAACCCTATGGAGCACAGTTCTCTGACACACATGGAGTTGCCACGAATCAGAATTGACTTGATGGTAACTGATGGTAAGCACTGTTATAGAATATGAAAGAATAGAATAAATATACTGGTTATCTAAATAATTTCACTGCATACTAGCTGTGTTTATACAGTTTGGTTGCCTTGACACTTGCTGTTTATAGTGCATAGCATAGAAGATTTATGCTTCCGGGTTGCTGTGGTATGAATGGAGAAGAATAGCACAGTGATCTACAGTGATTTCTGGATGGTAGGATTAGAGTAATTTTTATAATCTTTAAACTTTCTCTGTGTTTTCCAGAATTTCTGGAACGAACATACATTACTTTTATAATGAGAGAAAAAAAAACACTCAGAGTATTGTGAGCTCTTGGCATGTGCTTACAGTGTGTTCTAAGACCTTCACTAATATGCAGACACCACTGTAGCAGTTGATTCCTGCTCTAAAATCCAGTCCTGTAAGACTTCACAAGCATTGCCATGTATGACAACAAGAGGATCATGAGGCTCTGCTGAGTTGCAGACTCTGGGTAGCCAAGCTGGGCTTCCTCTCTGACCAAGGCCTTTACCCTTAATCTAACCTGCCTCAGCAAAGCTGTTGTTCACTGCCATCGAGTTGGGCCCTGACTAATGGCAACCTCATGCACAGAGGAATGAAACACTGTCCAGTCCTGCACCATCCCCATGATTGGTTTTGTGGACAGACTGTTTTGATCCGTTGGGTTTTCATTGGGTGATTTTAAGAAGTAGATCACCAGGCCTTTCTTCCCAGTCTGTCTCAGCCTGACAGCTCCACTGAACTCCATTCAGCATCACAGCAACACACAAGCCTCACTGACAGATGGTCGGGGGTGGCTGCACACGAGGTGCCGCGGCTGGGGATCAAATCTGAGTCTCCCACATGGGAGACAAGAATTCTACCACTGAATCACCAAACATCCAACGCATGCACTCATACAAGCTGCACACACATGTCTGCAGAAAAAAGACTGAAAGGAAATTCAGAGCGTATACGGT